CCCCCCCCCCCCCCCCCCCCCCTCCGCCCAATCGTATTTTAGAACTTTTAATTCCCCAGACGAGTCTGGTATTAGATCATAGATGGAAGGCTCGGTTTGTTTAGACGTGTATAAGGTCAGGCTTCGATGTCCTGCCCATGCGATTGTGATAATGCGCCACTCGCTATCATCACAAACATGGACTGGGGATCGAATCCCAGCTATCAACACCTCCCACTTACTGAGCTGTATTTATTCGTTCTTGTCATTTGAACATTCAGACAAGCCAGAAGTTGAAGTTCCGGGATTCGGATTCTAATTTATTTTGATTCATCACATCCCATTTTCCTTTAGCCACCAAAAAAGGTTGGCAAGTTTCATTTCTGGAAACACTTGCTCGACCACATGTGTTCCCATACACAAAAATGTCGCTGTCGCTTTTTCTTCGGGTAGCATCGCAACCAGAAATTTAGAAGCATGTGGAATACGGATACACCAGGAGATTATTAGCCGAATGATACATCTTTTGCCGAATTTTGTCCTGTTCGTCAATGCCATGGATCAAAATACAAACTAGAATATAAAATATATCAAATACAAACTACGATAGATAAACTAATGTAAAGTGTGGTAGGATATGACAAGAATACTCGGGTTTACTGCGGTAGAGTAGAGGGACACACGCAATCGATTATCGATTTCTCCCGCGTTATGCTGTTCGAAATGGCTACTTGTTACTATCCTACACCAGAACATCTAGATGCGACGGCCGAACTACCCCCGGCCTTGTCGAGTTTTCTAGTTTTCCACCGCGCCCCAAGTATTTCTGCCAAAGAAAAAGGATAGTTTTAGTACAATAAGCTCCGCCTAGTCAATACCATACGTCAATTTGTGCTGAATACACTCAACAACTGCCGATGCTTACAGAAAAAAAAACATTTTTGCTTGCGTCGTAATGGTAGAATTGGCTATTGCGCATTAGCAGGCGCAATTTACCGGATCGAGTGCAGGGCATGCAATTGAACATAGTACGATGAGGAAATTGGGTGAGCTTCGTCATTACGTACATATTATGGAACAAATAGCTGCTAAAAACCGTAATAATATGAAAGTACTACTGGGTAAACAAAAAAGTTATCGCTGGAAACTTCTGTTTGAAATAAATAAACTTGATCACTATAGTTGAGAACTGTAATATCAGTTCTGAAGAAGATCCGAAGAAGAACTTTGAGAGGTGATTCGTGGCTGTTAAAAATAAATTATTGTTATCCTGTATTAGTGCACAGTAGGTTGTAGCTGTAATTACTGCTTGAAAGGTATCAGTTAGATTGTGAGCCGCAGCTTGTAGGAAACGAATACCCATTTTTTCGAATTTTTTATTGTACAGGGGGAGGGAAAATCTGGGGTGTGGAGNAGTAGGAATGAAATGGTCGCGCGCGGCGAAAGCCACGTCGCGCGCGAAGGAATGTGGCAGAATGCAGCAGCAAGTAAGAGTATAGGAATAAAAGAACTAGCACTAGAATCATGCTATAAGTAATAATCGCATAGCGATTGAGCTGTATGAAGAGCACTAGAACTGTTATAACGAGTCCGCGATAACGATAAATGGTCCGCGACAGCCGCGAGCGGCGAATCGAATACGCAAAATCGTTCCTACTGCCCGTCTCCCGAAAATCTGAGATTTGTTTACTTATTTACTCGCTTATTGGTCTATTTATTTCTTGAATTATTATTAATTTCACTTATCAATTTTTGACTCACAAACTGTTGCTCTTGAGGCTCTTGCCTTTGATAGGCTATGGGCGGACTGATGGTTGGCCACCAATAGTGGGAGCAGCAGATCTTCTCACTGAGCTAATTTGGCCCTAGCCATCAAAAGAGGGAGTACTAGTTGAGCCGTAGCATCACATGATGCTCATGCTGGGAAATTCGAAAAAGCCGTATTTCTCAGGTTTTTCGAGTATACTTGTGAGTATTCGTGTCGCGACTTTAGCATGATGTCAGGATTGTTTGATACAAAGGGCAACTGATAGCAACGGTGCAGTTGACGATAGTTGTATCCTGGGTGACATTTAACTCGGAAATTTCGTGGCGGAAGCACAAAAGAATCAATATTGCAACGAACTAGAATTCACGTATATACTTTTGTCTAGACGAGTTATATTGTGCCTACAAGTAATACTAAGTTTATTTTCGACAGAGTTTTTACTTGTAGTCCTGTCACACCTCTTCATGTGTAGTACAATACACCCGCACTAACTATGAGTAGGGCCACCCTGCTTCGAAAAGGTCAATTTCTAGAGGTGGAAATCAAATGCAAGGTTGAATTCACAGCTCCTTTCATGACTACGCAATCTATTTATTTATTATTGTTATTTATTAAGGGAAATGCTATGTATAAGCATGTATTTGTTTATATATCAGAACTATTACTATAACTCTTACCGGTATGCCATTCAAATTCGGTGGAAGTTGCATATCATTGAACGGCAAATAAATATGAGAGAATGAAACGGCATCAGGAATAGAAAACACTGAAATAATTAAAGTAATTGATGATGTATTAATAAAAATAATAATATTTGCAACTCAATTGAGATACGGAAGTTCACAGCGAAAACACACCAGAAAACCAAAACACATCCTTTATGTCGAGATTGCCAGGAAGCCGTAGGTGTACCGTCTCTCCATTATAGTCTCGTAGTGATTCACAATCAAATAGTTTCAGTTCACTGAAAATTTTTCTTTCAAATTCGATACAGTAAACTTGTACTACCCTCAGGAGTAGGTGAAGTGGTACTAGTCGAATTTAAAAAAGTTTTTTTCCAAACTTAAAAGACTCAGACGCTACAGATTTGCGTTTCAAAACGTGAATGTCGCCTGGGAAAATCCATTTCGTCAGATCAGAAAAATGTATTTCACGAATACTTGTTATTATCGAAGTGCAGAAGGTTTTCCGGTGAATAACCTTTCCCAAACAACATTTGCAGCATTTGCTTATTCAAAGGCGAGAGATCTTTTGGAAGTGATACGGCGCGATTCAGATGGCATTTTCAGAGCCAAGCAACACCCGATCTCAAAAAGTGTAGCAGAAGGCAGATCCTGTTCGAAAGGCTACTCGAGAAATCGGTAGAGTACTTTTGGGTAAATTTGAAGGGGAAATCGAGAAAATGTCACGAAAAGACCAGGTAACGTACGGGTCATAGAGTGGCACGATGTTCCCATTGGTATTTGGCAGGATGTCCTTTCCAATCATGAACCAAACGGCTTTCGAGTCCGTTCTCAGTACAAAGTCACTAATCTCGATCGTTTTGACATCGATTACCTGAAAGAGATCGATATCGCACTGTCAACAAGAAAAGCTAAAAATCGATAACTGTACTCGAATTGGTCCCGAACTGATGTTGAATAGACCATTGGGAGACAGTCCACGAAGTTGGACGACGTCGGGTATTTGGAAAGCTGGACCGTTTGGCAACAACACTGATGCTACCGTCTCCTTAAACATAATAATTTCGTTTTGTACTTTGTTCTTGTACTCCCTCTTTCGATTCAGTTAAGTATTTTCTTTGATCCTGTTACGAGACTGATTGTGAGATGATTTACATTACTGACAAATGTACTTGTAAGAAGGAAGTTTAATTAGCCCTCTGCTGGAGAGTTTTCTGATGCTTTCTGAATGACTTACACGGCGTTTATGGTCCCGTAATGAGATCCAGTGAACGGACTGAGCGACAATTCCTTCAGGAAGCGTCAGCAGAATCGGTTGGAAGCCTGCGTACCATTCAAGTGGTTGAGCGTACTAAAAAGTTGTTGTAACAAACAAACAGACAAACAGAACACAATATTTTGTAATTTTGTTATATTTAATTTTATATTTTTATGCATTTATGATCATTATACTTGCTTAAAAGCCTATATGCTCGGGGTCTGGCGTTCGTTTCGTCTGAGAATCCCTTATGAAGGCTCGGCTTATATTTTTGTCCAATAGTTTGTAGTTAGACGCCTGGAGTTTAGGAGAAAACTCTGAGGTTCTAAGTATATAAGTGAAAGTATTTTTTCAGAGTGAAAGCACTTTAACGACGGTGTTCGATACGATTTTTCTGGTCCTCTCCTGCAAACCGTGATCGCGGTCGCTTCCTTTCGAATTTATTACCTGATTGTTAATATAAGTGTAGGTGCAAAAGTTTCGCGTGGTGATTGAGTTCTACAGAAAGTTTGCAAAACGTCTGCGTTCGGGGGGAATCGAACCCCCGTCGAATGCTTGGAAGGCATCCATGCTAACCATTACACCACGAACGCTCACAAGCATCCACACGGCGGCCGGGAACGTGTGATCAGCGAAAGAGATGAATAACTGACGGAGGGCCTGTGATAGGCAATATGTATTTATTTATTTATTTATTTATTTATTTATTTATTTATTTATTTATTCTTTCATGGCAATTCACTTGTATAGTGAATAAACAAATAAATGGCCATATTTTTAAAAGGAACAAGTAAAGTGGCCTCGTGGGCTAGACTCCCTCTACGAGGACCAGACGAACATAATAGTATACCTGTAGCATATCTTCCTGATTTCAACCCAAACGTTTTCTTTTTGAAAATGCAACAAATAATTTATTTCGCACAGCTAATTTCTTAGGCGCACCATTTACGGCACTGCGCAACTTTATTTTGCTCTTTTTTTTTTACTATTTGCTGTAAAAAAGAAAATTATCATAAAGTCAAACGAATGCTTCAGAAAACCTACGCTATAGTTTATCTTCTCGTCCTCTGGTTGTAGTATTGTGAAGCCAGCTGGGCCAATTGTATTGAATGGTGTTTCAGTAGAACTCTCGGAAATCAAATCGTCGTGAAGCACACTTAACAGTAATTGTATAAACGGCTTAGCTTTCTTGAGATTTCCACAGAACATTTTGCATCCTATCAAGAACAGAAGCATTTAAATACCTTTGTGACTCGTCCCTCGACAAATTGGTGTTCCGGTAAACGACGCCATCCTTAAAAAGCGACAGGTTAAGTTTCGGTTAGTAGTCACTCCGCTAGTCACTTCAAATAATTGTTCCTAATCACTCTATCCATTCATGAACCCCAGATAAACATCAAGCACGACGATCCGGAGTGATAAAAGGTATTCGCCCAACATTTCGAAGACTTTTTAATTGATCCTACTGTAAAAATAACTTTCCACTATTTAGAATTGTAGTGGAATCACTACTGGGATTAAGTTTGACCTTCTAAATTCAGTTGTTACGAATAGGTACGACCTGGATGGAAGCGGAAAGACAAATCAGAAAGCTCGTTTTGCGTATTAGCGTGAAGTCAGCAAGCTCGAGGCTTTGACTTCCCAACTTTCCCACTTTATTTTGCCGTAATTTACAAAATTTTTTGAGGCTATAGCTCTTTACCGGTACCTGCTCAGTCGTGACTGTACTTTTGACACTACCGAATCTCGAAAGAGCCAAAAAATTCAATCAAAAAAACCAATTCGATTTATATGGTCCTATTGATTAAGTAGCATTTGATTTGAATCTTGTTGAAAGTGGTACTTGTAAATGAGGTACAGTGATTGTCCACTTTCACTGAATATTCTCAAAAGGCTGTTTCGAAATGGTTATGCTACATTTTTATAGATTTCATAAAGCTGCCCCTTAGGATGGAGCTACTTCATAAAGTTCTAACTCACCTTCACCAACAGGTCCACCTGATTTTGACGGTCATCGATCGTTGAAGTCTCTTCCGCTTCTGGATTCTCAAAGGCTGAAACACGGACACAGACTCCTTTGAGAACGCCTTTGATTTCGTTGGCGGCTTACCATCTCTCCGAGCTCGTAAAAGACCGTCAGGCTTCTTTGATTTTTCCGAGACTGGTTCGATAGGATTCAATCCATTCAGTAACAAATTCGAAATAGCCAATCCATTCCTCGCCTTCGCCTCCATTGGCTTCAAATACTTATTTTCTTCGGGAGTACAATGATCATAAAAGGCCTACTGATCGATTAGAACTTACTGGTAATTGATCTATGGCAAAAGCGGCGATGTCAATGGGCTCGGGGCGAACGTAGAAACCATTGTTCGAAGGGAACATATCGGCCAGCACATTCTCTGTCTTATTCAGTGGTCCCAACCAGAATGTGACATTCTCTGTAACAATTGCTCTACATATGGAAGTAAGTATATTGAATCGAACCTAATTTTACTATTTCACAGAAACTTGTAGTCGCATGGAGTAAACTGATACACAGAACGATCTACACTACAATCACACGATACTTGCCGTTTCAAAGGTAGCACCAAATTCCTATCGAGAATACAGTAATGCTCTGACTGAGTTCTAACAGAGATTTGGCTGGTCCCTTGGACTGCGAAACTTTGGCTTTCTTAATGGGAGCACATTCCATTCGCTCTGGGAACTACTCACCCGACAGAAGGGAGCCAGGCTGAAAGAAGAACTTCGAAATGATGAATCGTTTGTTATCTGCAATCCATACTGCACCAGACGGTTTGAATTTCTTTGTGACACCAATCTGTAAATCAATAACAACTTAATTTACTGGACTCTATTCTGCTCTACTTTACTACACTAGTAAATGATGATAGGTAAGATATGGAGTGCGGTCAGTAATGGAAATTGATTCAATAAGAAGGCGCTTTAATATACTCCGCCATTATTTCTACTGAAATTTTGACTGTTACTTTAGTATGATGTAATATGTAAGCCGTGTGGAGTTTACGTGATGGTGGTTGTCAATTCGTGACATTAAAGAGTACGCAACTCACCTGTTCGGCGAAACTTCCACAGTACTTTCCGTAGTACGGTAGTTTGTCGGCAGATACCGTAATTTCAGGGAGTTTGCTTGTTGGTCGATTCTCGCGAATCCATTCGAGTAGCCGGCTTTCCTTCTCTTTCTTTGAATCTTCTTTCGTGTCGTCCTTCACCAAAGATCTGGAATGGCTTCATAGTTAATCTAGATCACCTTAAACAAAATACAAGTTAGATTTAGTAAAGGGAATCAAAAGAGGGCTGATTAAAAACGTGTTTTTCGCTGAAGACGAAATGTCTCAAGGTAAAGGGTTCTGGATCTGATCAGCTCCTTTACAGTAGCTGTTTTGACATTCGGCCCCAGTATACTTGAACTAAGGAAGCCCTAGGTGGTCTGACAAGGTGAGAGCAACTCTACCGTCACTACCGATCTGTGACCTTATAAAACGATGTGGAGAGATAATACTTGAAGAGATTTTGAATTGAATATTTGAAGAGATAGTATTCCCAGAGATGTTGACCTTGTTTACATTTACAATTGGGAAGAAGTAGAGCGGCGTTACCGCTGCCATACGCATGCTCAGGAAATGGAGTTCCTTATTTGCGCACAAGGAAGCCATCAGTTCCATACCTTCAGGGTTGATTAATACTCTAGGTTCGCCTGAGAGGGTAAATATTGACTTGTATAGCAATTAAGCAGTTACACGTTCACAATTCCCCCCCCCCCCCCCCCCCCCCCNCCCCGCATCACCCATCTTTAAGTCTCAATACACTTATGGTGGCTGGTGGCATTGTGATCCTGAATGAAAGGTGGGTACGTGGGATATCTATGTTGCTAATTAACTAGTTTCATTCTTTCCGAGTCTACAAAGCTGTAAATAGCTGATATGGTTACTTTTTAACTAAAATAACTTACTTTATTGCGGTGCCCAGTGATTCTGCATCCAAATCTCCTGACGTGATGGCTGTGTGCAGCAGCTTACGCTCTTCTTCCGGTAAGTTTTCAAGTAACTAGATTGAATAGACAAAATTTGGCATATTTTAGTGATTTACAGTATTTTTCTCTCATTTAGAAATTGTGTGGCACTTTTAGTGCCACATAATTTTTTGAAACAGATCAACTATCATATTTGATACATTGGATTGTTAATTATGTACTTACAAGTAAATGCACTTACGAAGTTACAAAACGAATCGCGTTCATTCGTTCCCTTTCCCTTAATTAAGGGTATGTGCATTACCTTCTGATACTTCATGATAGTTAAAAATACCAGAACAGATCATACTGATACCTTCAGGGAGTCCTCTTTATCCTTCGTCATGCGAAATTCCTTTTCTTTATCGTCCTTCTCTTTGATTGATTGGTTCAGGGCAGATGCCGCTAAAAGTTGTTACTCTGACAAACAAGCCTGACAGATTATGTTACTGAAGTAACCTTGGTTGATTAACGTCTCCATGATGGTTGGTTGTGGTTTTGGTTTCCCGTCTTCTGAGAATGAAGCACTGGGCAGTGGAAGGCGAGCACCACGCAGAGCATTTGTCATGGTTTCCAGCAGACCTTTCTTAAATCGCTCCTTTAGTACTGTTGATTTCAAGAAATTTGGATTTGGCTAAGAACAGAAAGCATACGCCAGGACATTAAAAATAAAACTTATATGGTGGCACCCCATAACTGAAAGTAATTTAGTAATGGGGGCGATTGAAAGATTACGTTTTTCGATATTTCCCACTTAGCGACTTTTTATCTGTAAAAAACAAAAAAGTAGTAATAGCATCTGAATAATTCAGACTAAAATGTTCGCCACTCGTTTTGATACCGGTTTCCAAAGGAGAAGTCTTTGATTAGTGGCGGTAGCCCCCACCCATGTCATCCCAAGAATCTACAATTTGACTGAACAGACACCCCAAACGAGTGATTTTTCCTTATAGTCTAAACTACTAAGTAGTACACATTTGCTAATCTGANCCAGTGAGTAATGTACAATACAAAAAACTACCCAGTTAGTACTACAAACAATAGAAACGATCACTATACTTAAGGGTAATTTGGTTTAAAATACCGACATAATTGACAAATCATAACTATTTAACCACCCTCTACTAGTACAAAACTTCGAAGCAGATTTGTACCGGAACGGTCCTTACAAAATAAAGCAGTTTTATGCTTCACTCATATTTTTTCACCTTTGAAGGTCAAGAATTGAATGAATGGTAAAGGAGATAGACCTGTTATAAAGAGGAAGGAAAACAAACGTACCGATCCCTCTTTACCACCGAAATTCAGGATGTTCTCTGCAATTTTCGTGAACTGGTCCAGTGATGCGCTGTTGGACAGTAGGGCCTCTAAAGGGTTCGGAGCTGCCGAGGCCGTCTGAGTAGCCGCGGAAGCCGCTGCCTGTAACAGAACGTTTCATAACTTCACACATTATTACAGTTCTTCAACTCCAAATCAATATCATTCAAATAGCGAACCTGTGCAACTTGACCAGTTGAGTGACTTGGGTTCAGTGCCCCGGCTTTGCTTTGGGCGAAAATTGCATTCACAAGATTGTCTTCGGTTGCCGTTCCTGTGCCAAGTGACTGAACTCCAATATTGTTCTGAGGCAGTGGTGCCAATGGTGGATTCACCGCACCCAAGGTAGCAGCAGCTAGTTGCTGCGGGCGCTTGGGAACTTCGTAGTGAGGCCGACCATCTTCCCATGTTCCGGCATGTACGGGGACTCCGTTCGGAATCGAGACTGCGGAAAATGGCTGGCTTGGCTGTTTTGCTGGTTCGACATTACTGGACAGATGTTGTAGTTGATAGGGCTTTGATGATGACATCTCTTTCCTCCGTAGGAATTGCTGATATCTCAAGCGGTTCTGTTGCGATGGGTTGCTGTCCGTTGGAAAGCGATGCCGTAGCTGTGCCCGAATCACAGGTTTTTGTCGAGTGCTGAACAGCTTGATTTAACTTAACTCAAATAAAATGATCTCATGTCAACCATTTTCTCAAATCTTCTTTCTCAGATGACTTTCGTGGGCCGCATAGTTTGAACCCCTTGATGTGGCTGTGATTTGGTATTTTTCCAAAGAAAACGATTTAATGTCCATGGAAATGTCAATGGAAGTAATGTCATTGTAATTGTTTACTCAGAGTTACTTTACTAGAATCCTTTAGAGGTAGTACAGCTTAGCTTCTACTCATACTCAATAAAACAAACACTCCGATTTCTAGATTCCTTCAACAACATTCGATGGTGACAGCCACTTCCGTATGTAGTTCCGTTTGTAATAGATACAACATTGCTGGAATAGGCTATTTTTCTAGCTGGCACCAGCAATGGTAGAATTTAGAAGAAGGAGCAACTCCCAAGCTTTACCCTGTTGTTTATCTTTTGATAGTCCCTGATTCTAGCCTGTGAGTCCTTCAGCTGGACCAATGTCAGCGATGCTAGCCCAGTAGCTCACCATAGGTAGCCCTCATGCTTATTACTGATAAATCGTGTTCGTATTGTCCCGAAAGGGTCCCACAAAGCTTCTTCTAGGTCTTGAAAGTCTTCCCGGCCCGCCTGTAGAGAGCCTATCATCGGAGCGCTCTTTTGAGGCTCTTTCAAGCTCCTCTCCATAAGAATCAAGCAAGGAGCGAGAACTTCCAGAAGAGTGCAAGAAGGATCCCTACTTGCCACCCGAGAGAAGATTTGGACATGTAGGCTCATTGTACTTTCACTAGCGTCCCCCCCCCCCTTTCCTTCTTCTGA